GGAGGGGGCGCAAGTGAGGATATCAGGCAAAGGTGACCAAAGGCCACTAGAGACAAAGTCTAGAGCTCAGAGGACAGAGTCTGTCACCAAGATCAGAGCTCAGTATGTGACATAAGTTTGTGACCAAGGTCAGGGCTCAGTCTGTGATTAGGATCAGGGCTCAGTCTGTGATTAGGATCAGGGCTCAGTCTGTGAGCAAGGTCAGGGCCCAGTCTGTGATTAGGATCAGGGTTCAGTCTGTGACCAAGGTTCAGTGTGTGACCAGGGTCGGGGTTCAGTTTATAGCACTAGGATGGGAGCTCATTCTATGAAAACCAGGAATAGAGGCTCAGTTGACACCATGGTGAGGCTCAGTATATGATACCAAGATGAAGGCTCAGTCAGACACCAGAATGGGGACTCAGTCTATGATAACCAGGATGGGGACTCAGTCTATAACATGAAAACTGGGTCTCAATCTGTGACACCAGGGGCAGGGTTGAGTCTGTGACCAGGGTTAAGCTCAGCCTGTTTCTGGGTCAGAAGTATCCATATAAAAACTGAACTCAGAGATCTGGCCTCTCCTGAGGCCCCAGGGAGACTTGGCTGAGGCATAGGACTGCCCCTCTGGATGGCTCCCCTTCCTCTTCCAAGCTCCCACTGGCCTCCAGGACTCACCCCCACATCTGGTTTTCTTCCTTCTTCCTGGATTGTTTTGTTCTGAAGTTTCCCTGAGTCATAGATGCTGCCTTGGCTTTGGGATGGGGACGGGAGCCAATTCAGGGCTCATTGAGGGCAGCCTAATAGTCCTTCTAAGCACCCAGGGCAGGGGGCTGGGACAGCAGTGATGGTGGAAACCACGGCATCGTCAGGGCAGTCAGAAGTGCATTTACTTTGCATAGAACAGAGCATAAGCTTGCACCTGCCCCATTCACACCTCTGGCTTAGGCCCCAGCAATTTCATATTCATAATTTTGCATTCTTCTTCTTAAAGAGGGCCCCCCAAATTATATCACTTCAGGCCTTCAAAACTCATGCTCTTGTTTATATGTATACAGCTGGGAGGAGACGGAAAGTGAAGTGAGTATAGACCGCCCATCCCAGTTCCCCTCTCTCAGCTCAGTGTGTTGGGGAGAGGCACCATCACCCCCTCCCCTCTGCTAACAGTGGTTACAGGCAGGGTGGCCACAGAATTGATTATTCAACCCACACCCTTTAGGGAGTAGAAAGGGCACTATTAATAATTACACAGGCTCCACAGCATAAACAGGGCATGGGCCACTCAGCCATCTTGTTGTTGTTGTTAAGTGCCGTCGAGTAGGTTCCAACTCATAGCGACCCCATGTACAACAGAATGAAACACTGCCTGGTCTTGCGCCATCCTCACAATTGTTGTTATGCTTGAACCCATTGTTACAGCCACTGTGCCAATTATCTCATCGAAGGTCTTCCTCTTTTTTGATGACCCTCTACTTTACCAAACATGGTGTCCTTCTCCAGGGACTGGTCCCTCCTGATAACATGTTCAAAGTATGTGAGACAAAGTCTCTCCATCCTTGCTTCTAAGAAGCATTCTGGCTGTACTTCTTCCAAGACAGATTTGTTTGTTCTTTTGGCAATCCATGGTATATTCAACATTCTTCGCCAACACCATAACTCAAAGGCGTCAATTCTTCTTCAGTCTTCCTTATTTATTGTCTAGCTTTTGCATGCATATGAGGTGATTGAAAACACCATGGCTTGGGTGCACCTTAGTCCTTAAAATGACTTTGCTTTTTAACACTTTGAAGGGGTCTTTTGCAGCAGATTTGCCCAATGCAATGCGTTGTTTGATTTCTTGACTACTGCTTCCATGGGTGTTGATTGTGGATCCAAGTAAAATGAAATCCTTGACAACTTCAATCTTTTCTCCATTTAGCAAGATGTTGCTTATTGGTCCAGTTGTGACCTAAACTATAGGGTGAACAGAGACGTGATTTGGCACTTCCTGAAAGAGTCCGTCATCCCACACACCCCCATCACTGCCCAGCCCTACGAAGCTAATGCTCCTGCTGGTCAGTCCCCCAATGTATCCCCTGACTTGCTCAGTCTCTCTCCTCTACCTTTCCCAACCTCCTCAAGCCTCACCTCCAGTCTCCCCTTCCCTCCCTGGTTTCAGCAGAGCCTGGGGTGTGTTGGCACTCACATCCTGCATCTGTGAACCCTGCGTGTCCAAGACCCAAAGGCTAAAGGTGAAAGGCCGGAGCTCTGAGTTCAGTCCGTATACGGAAGCTTCTGACCCATGAACAGGCTGATCTTGACTCTGGTGACAGACTCAACCCTGATCCTAGTGTCACAGATTGAGCCACAATTTTTATGTCATAGACTGAGCCACCATCCTGGTGTCATAGACTGAGTCTCCAACCTTGTGTCATATACTGAGCCCCCATCCTGTTGTCATAGACTGAACCTCATCCTGGTGTCATAGACTGAACCTCATCCTGGTATCATAAACTGAGCCTCCATTTTTGTGTCA